CTCTCAGAATAGGACATGTGTCAGTCAGGTGTTCATGAGAAGTACAAATACCATACATAGTTGCCGTTTGAGGTTTTTCTACTGCCAGCTGTTTGACTAAGGTAGTGAGCTCGTCAATTCAGGTCTCTAAAGCTTTGTTGGAAGAAGCTTGGATTTGATTCACGCCTTTGCTTTGAACAGAATTGTCTCTAGTGGTGAACTATTGAGAATTAACAGACATATTTTCAATAAGGGCTTTGGCAGTAGCTGGAGTTTTATTGACAAGTGCTCCATCACTAGCAACATCAAGAATGCTCCTGTCCATCGGTAAAACCCCCTCATAAAAGTACTGGATGAGTAGTTGCTCGGTAATCTGGTTATGAGGGCAGCTAGATACCAAGTGTTTGAACCTCTCCCAATAATCGGTCAGCGACTCATTACCTTGTCGAATACCACAAATCTCCTTTCTTATCGAGCCAACTCTGGAGGCAGGAAAATATCTCTCCAAGAACACTTTTTTAAGAGCATTCCAGCTTGCGATTGAATTTGGCTCAAGATAGTATATCCAATCCTTTGCTGCAACCTGAAATGAAAAAGGGAAAGCTCGAAGTTTTATGTGATCTTCAGTGATCCCTTCAGGCTTCAATGGTGTAGAACATACGACCTGAAATTCTTTCAAATGTTTGTGCGGATCCTCACCTGCAAGACCACTAAACTTGGGCAACAAGTGTATTAAACCCGATTTTAATTCAAAAGGAACAACAACATCATCATATTAAATACACATGCCATTATAATTCACATCAGGGGCAGCCGATTTCCTTAAGGTTCTTTGGTCATCCATATCAAAAACAAACTCAGAATCTGAAGCAAACAAGTTGTGCAAATAGTCAGACTCATAATCAGACTCAATTGTGGGTGGTGAACTAGTGGTAGCATGGACTTTTCTATGTCGTGTATGCAATGTTCTCTCTACTTCAGGATCAAAAGCAACAAGTTCAGAACAACAAGACCTAGTAGTCAGGACTAATACAACAATGCATCATCAATATTCAAAATGCCAATAATGTCCCTAAGAAAACACAAAGAAGGAAATCGGTTAAATAAAATTCAGAAAAATAAAATAACACCAGATTTAATCTAATTAGGCAAAATAACAATTTTCAGAATTTTTTCGATTTTTTCTGACTATGAAAACAGTAAAAAATTCATTAAAAATAGAAAAAAGATGAATTTGGGAATTTGAAAGCCAAGTCCCGTAACTACTTCATGGTACGGGAGATAAATAACCAAAGAATCTTTTCACAAAGGATGCTCGGAACAAAATTCGATTCAGATGCGATTTTCCCAAAAACCGATTTTTTCCCTATTTTGACTCTAAAACAAGAATTGGACGAAATCGTGAGGAGACTAAGACCTAGAATCGATGGCATTAACCCTATGACTCTAAAAATGATTAATAAAAACAAGAATCCCTGACGACAGCGCCAATTTGATCCGCTGTCGCGCGCGGATCAAAACGAGTATTTTTAAAAACGTAGTACAACGAGAATGTGACTCGAATCATCTCACAAGGATTCTTGTTTGTATTAATAAAACGTATCTGGATGAGGGGGGGGGGGGTTGTGCTCGATTAAGAAAAAGGAAGAAAATAAGTGATTATGAAAAGTGATTATCAAAATAAGCTGAAACGATTAATCTACTGTTTTGGTTTCCAAACTTATCATCGACCCAAATAATTCCCAATCTCTAACGGATTCTATTCCCTTTTCGATTATAATAACAATCATACAAGCGACAATTGATATTATACGATGAATATTCCTAAATTCCGAATTAAGCAAACAGACGAGATAAAGTAGTCATGAATTAAGCAAACACGATGACAAACGCAAATTAAGCAAATGCGATAAAAGTATCGGAACATGCAATCATCGAAATAAATCAATCTAACCTTGGATAATATTGAATTAAGTAAACAACATATCAAAGACCAAAATTGAAAGGAAATAGATTAATTAGAAAATATTAGAACCTCAAGGTATCTGCGGAAACTGTTACAGCAGATTAATTCGTGGAGTTTAGTTCTCCATAGTAATTCGTATCAAGCTCTTCAAATTATTTCGTGAACAGTGATAGATGAACAGTACACGGCTGTTGGGGTATTAGGGGAACACTAGACAACCCGTTTACAACCCAACTGGGTCAAAATTATAACCCAGGCCCATTACAAATAACCTAAAACAAGAAATATTTCTAATGTTGTAACTTCAACGAATTTTATAGTCCTGTTACAGTCCGATTCAGCTCTCGACTTCGGAATTAAAATCATAGCTCTTTCTCTTAGCTTTCCAACGACTGGTAGCACACCTCATTCCGACTCCCGTAGCTCAAGTTATGAATTTATTCGTGCAAATTGCTAATGCTGAAAATAAAGTGCGAAAATCAAATAAGAGTAGAAATAAACTAAAATAGAAAAATACTATAAAATACAAAAATACGCTAAATAAATTATAGAAATGCATAAGTACAATCATGGAAGAATGTGCATCAAAATGCACTGATCATTTATCTAAACCATGTATAAACTATTTCCAAGAACATTGTATTACCCAAGATAATTAATCTGACATTGAATTTGAAAAATCAATATGTACTATTCATATTCAGAACCATTAATATTCGTGAAAATATATTAAACAACAGAGATAACAAAATTTAAGTGTATAAATTCATGAAATAGTCATATGAACACACAAACTCGATGTATTTATATTACCCAAGTGAGTTTGATTCTTTAATGGAAAAAGTATTCATAAATTCATATTCATATTTGATGTACATCCACAAGACAAAAAAATAGATATTACATCATCCTAATCAATATTTTATAATAAGGACTACGACCAAGGACTTATCCTTCATGTATGTATCTTCTTGTTATGGAGATTGCACAAATATAAATTTCATGTTGCATCAAAGTCTAATCTGCCAGAATATTTAACAAAAAAAAGTTAGCAAAATAACATAGTGATTATTTAGTTAGAAAATACAAAATTGAGGGTTTGAATACCTTGAAGTCCATATAAAGAGTTGAAGTTTTTCATACCTATAAGAGACGAATTGAAATCAATCCAATAAATTAATTTATCCAAAATATGAGGTAATTTTTATTTACCAATTTGATAAACAGCATTTAGACTGTTTCATTGACTTTAAGATTTAAAAAGTAAATGAAGAAAAATTAACATTATAAAAGCTAAATTTTGAGATACATAATCGAAGTCGACATGAAATGCATTTCAAAGATATGACAGTAGCAATGTAAACATAAAACAAATGAAAATACCAAAACTTGGACTAAATAAATGCCCCCGAAATCAAAATTTAACACATTGTAGACAACTTAAAGTGCCTTACAGTTTAACAAAAAAAAAAAGCATCAAACAAAAATTAAAGTGAAAGAGATGAACTAGGTTGGCTAATCCTTATTAATCTTAATGTTTTTCAGAATCTTTGTGGTGGCTCCATCAATATCTCCAATAATTTGTATAATTCCTCTTTTAACAGGAGTGCAATCTACAAAATCAACTTTAATATGCGTTGACACGAAACTATTGCCTTCACATTTCTCCTCAGCGCCAACATTATCAAATTTTGAACTCAAATCCCGAACTACACCATCAACTAACTCAATTTAAACAGGAATATTACTTAAATTCTCATCAAGATCAGCATAATTCTAAACAAAATAGAATGTCAAAATTAATAATATGAGCATACACCACATATTACACAAAAAAAAAGTATAACCGGTTAGAGAGTATAGCCACCTTCACAACAAAATTCAAATCCGAAATTACACCAGCAGCTATATCACTTTGAACAATACCAGCAGTCAAGTCATCCTCAACGTCAACATAATTCTAAACAGTATATAATTGCACTACTATATCAATTATATGAATAAACATGAAAGTCTAATGTTACACAAAAAAATGAACTAACATGTAAGAGAGTATTATTGATCTTTGCAACATATTTGAACTTAGTAATAGTATGTTGGTCAGCACAAACTTTTTTTACGCGAAACGACGGTTGAAATCCAGAGTTCACATCATTTTTGACATATATCTTAAATAGAAAGGTTTGAACAACAAAGCCACCAATCACTCTAGGCACGACTGTTGGCTCTTCTTCCTAAAACATAAATTATTAAGTTAAGTTTCTGTTAAAGAATATTTTGATTACTGATAATATGTAACAATTGTCTTTTTCTTTAATACTCACCCGGTCCATTTCAGCAATCAAGTCCAAACATATTATCTAAGTTAACAAATAACAATCACGATCAAAAAGCACGAAACTAGCATAGTTAACATATTACCTATATATTTAATGAAGTGATGATATTAAATAGTTTATAAATATATAAATTAGTCATGAATTAATTGAAACAATTTACAACATCTTATTTTATTCTATTATATATTTGTAATATGATTTCGGTTCAATTCTAAAACAATTATTGTAGTATGGTTTAATTCTCTAATCAAATATAACAGTTTGATTTATTTTAACTTAAATTCAATTAGGTTTAATGGTTGGATTTAATTCATTTTTTTCAAAAGCCCTATTGCTAATGTTTTGTGCAAGTTTGGTACTCGTGTGGATGAAATCGTGACGTCAAGTGTTAGAATATTCTAGACGCATTCTGAAACAAAATTCCTTACTTATCTTCCGCCATTCAACGTTCTGGACCCTTCTTTCTTTGCTAAATATAGCTTTGACCATTTCAAGTTTGGTATTTTGCGGAAGAAATCGCCAAGTCAGTGTTAGAATATTCTAGAGTCATCCCGAAACAAATTTCGTTACTTATCTTCCCCCATTCAACATTCTGAATTGTTCTATCGACTCCTTATAAATTAACAACCTCTTCTCCTTCCTTAATCATCAATCTCCTATATTCTCTCTCTATCTAAAATCAATCACTCTCGCTTGTTTATCAGATCAAGTTCATCATGCAAATCTTCGTCAAAACGCTAACTGGAAAAACCATCACACTGGAGGTTGAATCCTCCGACACCATCGACAACGTGAAGGCTAAGATTCAAGACAAGGAGGGAATTCCTCCCGATCAGCAGCGGTTGATCTTTGCCGGAAAACAGTTGGAAGACGGCCGAACCCTAGCCGACTACAACATACAGAAGGAATCAACGCTCCACCTGGTACTCCGTCTCCGCGGCGGCATGCAAATCTTCGTGAAAACCCTAACCGGAAAAACCATCACACTGGAGGTTGAATCCTCGGACACAATCGACAACGTGAAGGCGAAGATCCAGGACAAAGAAGGAATTCCTCCGGATCAACAGCGATTGATCTTTGCGGGAAAGCAACTGGAGGACGGGAGAACTCTTGCGGATTATAATATCCAGAAAGAGTCTACTCTCCATTTGGTTCTTCGCCTGCGTGGAGGGATGCAGATTTTTGTCAAGACTTTAACGGGTAAGACAATTACTTTGGAGGTGGAGAGTTCGGATACTATTGATAATGTGAAAGCCAAGATTCAGGATAAGGAAGGGATACCACCTGATCAACAGCGTCTTATCTTTGCTGGTAAACAACTTGAAGATGGACGCACTCTTGCTGATTATAATATTCAGAAGGAATCTACACTTCACCTTGTTCTCAGGCTCCGTGGTGGTACCCATATATAGTGTCTTGATCCTTCTTAGTTGCTTGATAGTGTCATAATTGCTTCTAATTTATGAATTGATGAGAGAGTTCTCAAATGAGTTTCTGTACTGTTTGTAAATTATGGTTGTTAATTTTGAATTGCTTGATACTAGTTTCTGATTGCACTGTAAGTCTTTTCTTTTAGCATCTCAAAGTTATCTTACCAGGCTTGTATTGTTTTCCTTGTCTGTACATAAACTGGTCATTTTAATTTCTTTAAACTTTGATATACTTTGTATTGAAGTTCGGTTCTTTGTCATTAAGTTGTTTTGCTTGTTAAATTTTTTCTTTTGGTTGATGACACCATCTAAATCAGATTAATATAGTATGATTTTAATGGACATACAGGGTTATTGTGAAACATGTTTACACTAACATTTAGTGAGACTACAATACTTTTCTATCATACTATTATTTTTTTCCAACTGTCTTTACAAAATTAGGAGATGAAGTGACAAAATAATAGACTTTATTTTTTTCCAACTTTCCAGTCTTGCAGTTCAAGTTTCCATTCAATCAACCACCGGTGAGCCTCACCTTCCTTTATGTCTTAGTTTTTTCCCACTTTTTTATGTGTATTTGAGTTTCACCTTCTTTTGAGCCTCACCTTCTTTTGTTTCTGTTTTAGTTCAATTCTTGCTACAGTATTGTTGTTCTGTTGTTATTTGTTGTTGCTGCAAATTGTGGTTGACGAACTCATGGAGTGTTCGGTAAATCATGCTATATCCACCAAGTGTTCGGTAAAAGTTCTTAATCGATATTCTTCTTCCTTTGTGTTGTTTTTGCTTTACTGGATGGATTTTGGTGATTACAAAGTGTTAGATATTTATAGCATTTGGTTTTGAGTTAAGTATATTTGAACATTATTTTTAGTGTTTGGTGTTATAGACTATAGTGGCTAAGGCATTGGTTAGTGAATGAATTAGTTTTCTAATAAATTACTTTTGATTTGTCTTTGATTCAAACAGTTTCTAGACCTTGTTTTGGCCATTGTCAATGGCTCATCCTTATCTTTACTCTTGCTCTCAAGCATACTTTTGTAACATGACGATGGTGTCTATATAGAATGTAACCTGATATGATACTGTATTTAAATGGTGTCTATGTTAGGTTTTAAATGGTGTCTAGCATACTTTCTCAGTTTATTTAAATGGTGTCTATGATGGTTATTCACTGATTCAAACTATAATAGTTTATAGTGGCAAGTTACATTTTTGTGACATTTTCATTGCCCAAATTGTTAGAAAAAAATGCATATTTTCAATATCCTTCTAGTGATTGATGTAATCTCTTTAATACCTACAAGGCTACAACAGGCATATCGTATGGGCATGCGACTTGTGTATCTCAACTCAGCTTTAACTCAGAGTTAGAAGCCGTGATCCCAAAATGAGTTCCATTAGATTTATTTCATGTTAGTTTGTTTCTAACTTCCTATTAACTGTTGCTAGTGTCACATTGAAGAGCATCATATAAAAGGACTTTGCAAAAGAATATGCAAAGTGTTATACACCCAATAATTCCGAGTCGAGCAATACAATCAGATATGACGATCAATGCTAAAGTAATAGAGATCGACTAATTGTATGCTCGTGGTTTAGTGGTGTTTGGCTAGATTTTTTTGGCCTAGTTGTACTAGCTGAGTTGTGTCTAGATTAGCTGTGTTGGCCGAATTGATTGGTTATTTGGTTCAGTTACAAAACTCAATAGATGGCAGTTGCGAACCATTAAACAACTGGTACGGTACTTACGGATGGCTACAGCGTTACGTAAGTAGATTAATGGTCATTACGTCAGTGAACGACTATATAAAGGGTTCTCTAGGGATCCAGAAAGGGAGGACATTAGTTCGCCTGAATAACAGTAAAAAGAGGGGCTCTCGCAAGAGAGATAAGTAATATATACACTCTTGGAGTAATACGAGTCATTACCTTAGCATTCAAATCTCCTAATAAACCTACAGAAATCTATTCTTTGAGGCTCTTTCTATTTCTATAGAGAAGTTAACCACTTATTATTCTTATGCAAGAACATTAATACCTACTGACCTGATCTGACTTGGACCGTCACGGCTGACTCTGAGCTGAAGTTTTGAACGAGGTGGGGGTACCTGCAAGGCACTCCGATGCTGAAGTAAGTAAGAGCACGAGCAGGCAATAGTACGAGTATGGGTAAGAGAATGAATACCTGACCCTCTGGGAACAGAGGATATTTATAGTCCCCAACGTTGGGCCAAGGTTCCTTCATTGGGCCGGGCAGGTTTGGCCCAATGGAGGAACTGTCAGGTTCTACGTGTGTAGTGGGGATTCGCACGTGGTTCCCTTCTTGGATGTTCTGCTTGAAGTACGGACGGACGAGGATGCAGTCTTTTCGGGATCCAGGTGATGGCGTAGTGGATAGAGTCTGTCTAGGAGGAGTGCTCGAGCTGAGGTCGAGCAGGTTAGTGTGGAGTCGAGGACAGCGTACTAGCAAGAGATGTCGGGCAAGGATGTACCTCTTGGGCAGCGTGACCCTTCGCAAGACCGTTTGGACTGGGCCTTTACCATTGTTTTTGGGCCAGTCGGGCCCAGTCCAGAACAGGAGCCCCCTAAGTCGTGGTTTATGTAGTAGGAGCCGTGACTTGATCTTGGGTCGCCTGCGTCTCGGGGTCTCGTTCTCGGCCAGAACATGCCGTTCTCGCGACTTGCTCGAGGAGTTTTTCCCGTGTCGGGCACACGAGATGATGGCGCACGAGAAGCGCTCGGTGAGTCTCGACGGGGCGCGTTCGTTGGGCATATGAGGTATCTCTTGGGAATCGTGCTGCCACCCTACTGACGATAGGGTCATCATTGCCTAGAGGAGCTACATGTCGATGAGGGAAGTTCTATGGTTCCCCGAGGTGACGTTTGGTATTCCACGTCATCACTATAAATAGGTTATTTTGGGCCCCAGAACGTGTTTTCCCTGTTCGCGCTTCTCCTCTGCACTCTGCTCTTGCTGTTGCTGTTCTTCCCAGATACTCATAGGATCGCCGTGATCTCCGTCGCTGATTTCCTTTCTCCGTCGTCACATTACCTTCCTGATTCCAAGTGCCTTATTTCCTTCGTTTTTCCTATGTGATGCATGATTTTCATTGTTTTCAGATGTTTTAGAGACTGTAAGCCTGGGATTAGCCCGGTAGATTTATGCTTAGCGCGACAAATCCATGTTTATGCCCGGCGAACGCATGTACGCGCCCGATAAACGCATAGTTTAGGTATTTGACTCGTAGTGCTGCCCGGGGACTTCATGTCTCAGGGCACCTAATTCTTGGTGGTGTCCGGTGAACTCATGGCTCTAGTTTTGAGACCCACGGCGTCGCTCGACACGTTCGTAGCCTTAATCGACACATTCGTGAGTGGTCGAGATGTTGGCCTATTCAGGAGGTTTGTGGGGAGACTTGTCGTGGTATCTGGAGTTGGGGAGGTGACTGCTCTTTTTGTTTTGAAACACTAACTTTGTGGTCGCGCGTGGAGCGACGTGGTTTGCCGTGCCCTTCATTTTGTCCATTATGGCGAGCGTGTGGTTTCGCTCCGAATTGATTGGTTTCCCATGCTTTGTAGGTAACCATGGCGGACGAACCGTGCTCTTCAGGACGCGCCGAGGTGGAAGAACAAAGTGCTGATGAAAATGTGAATTTGGTCGACACTATAGAGGATCCTCTGCTCGAGTGGGTGGGTGCCGAGCCCAGAGGGATAGCTTCGGCCTATAGTCGACATAGTCGAAAGGCATACACCATCCTCGAGGCGGGTAGTGGCGAGCCCAGTCTCCAGAAGAACTTCGTCGTGACTCGACCAAATTTTAACGCACGAATCTGCTCAGAGTTCCCCGAGTACGGATTCCCCATGTACGAAATTGCCTTTAAGGACCTTGGGTTACAGCTGCCCTTCAGCGATTTTCAGGTCGGGGTCTTCAACCATCTGGGGCTGGCCCCGTCGCAGCTTCATCCAAATTCGCTCGCTTTCATCCGGGCGTTCGAGCTAACTTGTCGGTTTCTAAGGATTGGGGCGACCATACCCCTCTTCTTCAGAGTCTTCCACCTACAGCGCCAATTCTGGGGAGGTAAGCATAGCTGGGTCTCCCTGAAACAGTCGAAGAGACTTTTCAGGATGTACATGGATTCCGTGCGGGGTTTTAAGGACAAATGGTATATTGTGAGGCCGGTGACCGAAGCAGGTTTAGAGTCGGTGTATGAGGAGGAAACAGTCATAACCGATGATCACGGGGAAGCCCTTTTGGACGACGAGGGACATCCGGTGTTAGGGCGCGTGGCCAAATTTCCCTTGCATTGGACCTCGAGGCATTACGAGCATGGGATCGGATACTACCATACGTCCGCGGGCGAGATGAGCTCCTAGGATGAGAAGGCTTATGGTACTCTCTGTCGGTACGTCGACAGTTTCTTCCCCGCCAGATGGGCCACGAGGGAGGGGGAGGACATCCTTGACGAGGAGGGTTATCCGACCTTCGAGGCCCGACCGATTGACACAAAGGCACTTGTGGAGTGCCAGTCCTTCGGGCAGGCTGCGAGTTTGCTAGGTCGTTTGTGGTTTTGTCTTGTTTGAATTTCTTTATTTATTATTTGTTCGCCTGTTTGCTCGCCACTAACTCGGGGTTCTTTCATGCAGGTTTGATGGCCGGACGAAGGGAGAGGCTCTTGAAGTTGTCATGTGACAGGAAGGTGAATAAGAGGGTGGTGAGACCTCCTCAGGCGACGAGGATGGGGCCGCCACATAGCCCGGGCATTTCTCAGGCGACGAGGGCGGACTCGCCACCTAGCTCGGGAGCTGCTTCAGGAGGGACTCCGGATGTTCAGGAGGTCAAGCCACACACCGACCTGATACAGAGAAAAAGGAATCAGGTGGAAAGTCAATCGGAAGTCGGCGAGGACTCCAGCACTGTGAGGTCCTTCGGGTTGCCCCCTTGCTTTAAGGAGGAGGGTTTCTTCGAGGGATTTCCCTTGTCCGTGAGTCCTGACGAAGCTGAAACCATCAGGCGGATGAACAAGGAAAGCCGGAGAAGGCACCTGGCCGCCAATATGGTCGGGCTGGTGAAGATGGTCGAGATGGCCGTTGTACTGGCCGAGGAGGGGGAGGACGCTGACCGTATCAAAGAGTTAGAACAGGAGAAAGCTGCCCTCACCTCGGGCTCGCGAAAGTTGAAGGCTGCTCTGGAGCGCTTCGAGGAGATGTTTCGCAAGCAAGCCGAGCTACTAGCGACGGAGACAGTTACTGGCTCTTGAGAAAGAGAGCTCGGGGAAGCTGGCCGAGGAGAGGGACCTTTTTCGTGCGGATCGTAAACGACTGGAAATTGACAACGGGCGCCTCGCCAGAGAGATCGAGGACCTAAAGGCTGCTATGCTTCCTGCCGAGGATGAGTCGGAGGACACAGCTCTTTTGAGGAGTCGATCGGAACTGGTCGCTCGTATCCAACTTCTCGAGGGGGACTGTGTCGGAGCTATGGTGGACGGCTTCGAAGTCGCGGTCAGCCAACTTTCCTTGTTGAATCCCGGCCTGAACACCGAAGGGGTGAGCCATATGTCGCAGATTATCGATGGTCAGGTCGTGCCTCCGCCCGACTCTCCTGTTGTTGGTGATGGTAGCTCGGGGGAAGCCGAGTTGTGAGATAGTGATGGGGCCTGTGCGCCTCGTTGATGTTTGTTTTGGGCCTGCGTGCCCGTTCACATTTTTTGGGCCTGCGTGCCCGTTCTTTATATTCCCTGAATATTGTCGGCCTTTTTGGTCGGTTTACATCTATTTGCTTTGTTGTCTACGGGTATTTTGAATGAATGTTTTGTTTCAATTTTGATTGTTTGCCCGTGCTTGTGTTTTATGTTTTTGCGCAAAAATAGGCCTAAGTTATGGGCCCGAGGTGTCCCCGTATATGGTTGTGACTTTGTTGGCAAATTTGCCTAAGTCTTTTGTGCGTGTATGTGCTCGGCCTCTTCTCGATGGCCAGAGTCGCCTAAGTGGTGAACTCGAGGGGAGAGACTCCTTTTTGACCCTTTTAGATGGCCCGACGTCCTCGAAGATTCGTCGGGCAGGCGGAGCGAAGCCGCTTGGTCGGGTACATGACCCGGTCGAGACTGTTTGCCCGCAGCGTGAACTGCCCATCGCGAGTTGGGTGTTCTGCCCTACAGGTACTTCGACGGTGGAGCTCGGTAGAGGTGTCCACGCCGGGCATTATCGTTTGTTCTTGTTTGAACGATGTTATGCGGTTTGGACGTAGGTCAGGCCTGTACCTCGGCCTCTCTACGGGGTCGGACGTTTCTCCTCGTTGACTGGGCGCGGGAGCCGACAGTCGAGGGTCCTCAGTGTTGGTGGTTTTCAACTATAGTACTGCTTTAGTTTAGCAGTGTTTCAGGGTCGTGGTAGTGGCTCTCCGTCTAGTTGTTCGAAGTAGTACGCCCCGGTGCCAGTGGTGCCGTGGACGCGATAAGGCCCTTTCCAGTTCGCGGCCAACTTCCCTTCGCGGGAGTCTTTTTGGTAGGGATGGCAACGGGGCGGGTCGGGGGCGGGTTTAGCTAACCCCGCACCCGCACCCGCAACTCCAGTAATAGACTCGCCCCCGCCCCCAAACCCGCTCGGGGATGGAAATTCACCCCCAGACCCGCCCCCAATGGAGAACGGGTCACCCGCACCCGCACCCGCCCCCACCTGCGAAAACTATTTTTTTTAAATAAAAAAATATCTATTTTTTTCACAAATTTCCTGGACAGCATTAACAAATACATTAAAAATACAAAATTCGCCATTGATTTGAGTAAATAATTGTAGGATTTAATATTCAAACACCATTCCAAATATTTTTTTATCATAACCCTTCAATCAACTATAATTGGTTGTGAACTTGTGATTCATTAAAAGAGTGTAATCTTTCAATATATCAAAGTATAAATCACTCCCAACAACCAACAATTTTTTTGCAAAGTACAAATACAAAATTAAAACAATACAATCAACAAAAGAACCATTCCAACAACATGGAACAAAATAACCATTCCAACAACATGGAACAAAATATACGATATCATCATAACAAAAAAAGATCCAAATAAACAACAAATTTTCTAATAATCTTCATCTTCGAGGCGGGAGTTGGAAATAGAAGTAGCACCATCAATCAACAACTCACCTGTGTTAAAAAATAAAAGTTAAAATATAAAAATTTAACTTGACAAATTTAATACAAATAGTATGAATAATACCTTCATCATCAGACTCTATTTCAGTTAGTAAAATAGCATTTTCATTTCTCACGTTAGATTTCAAATTACCTATCAATATAGTAAAATATAGTCAATGCTTCTAAGAAGCTGAGAAAATAAAAGTAACATAAAAATAATTAAAACAAGGTTATTATAGTAATTAGATTATTCGGGGCGGGGCGGGTGCGGGCGGGTCTCAGTGTCTTACCGCCCCCGCCCCTGCACCCGTAGTTAGAAATCGGGTTTTACCCGCCCCCGCACCCGTACCCGTTTTAGCTGGGTTTTCCCTGTTAATTTCGAGGCGGGTCCGGGCGGGGCCCAGCGGGTCTGGGTTTTTTTGCCATACCTACTTTTTGGTTCCTTCGCAATACCAGGCTGCCGATTTCGAACTCGCGCTTAATGATCTTGTCGTTGTGGCACATAGCCACTCGTTGTTTTAGGGTGGCTTCGCGCAGGGTCGCACCAGATCGGATTTCCTCGACTAAGTCGAGCTCGTCCCGTAATGCCTCGTCGTTCATTTCTTCGTCGAGGGGGTTCTCCGTCCGTCTGGATGGCTCCATGATTTCTACCGGGATGATGGCCTCGTCCCGTATGTTAGTCGGAATGGGGTCTCACCCGTCGTTGAGTGGGGTGTGGTGCGATATGCCCACAAGACGCTGTGCAGCTCCTCGACCCCCCCCCCCCCCCCCCCCCTCTTCGCTTCGCCGAGTCGGCGTTTGAGTCCTCGGAGGATGACTCTGTTCGCAGCTTCGGCTTGCCTGTTGGTTTGAGGGTGCTCGACCGAAGTGAAGTGTTGCTTTGTTCCTAGTCTGGTGACGAAGTCTTGGAACCCGTGGTCGGTGAATTGGGTGCCGTTGTCGGTCACCAGTGCGCTCGAAATTCCGAATCTGGCGAGGATGTTTCTCTTGTAGAAGCGGAGGATATTATGCGAGGTGATTTTTGCGAGAGCCTCGGCCTCGTCCACTTTGTTAAGTAATCTACAGCCACGATTAGGAATTTATTTTGATAAGTCCCTTGCACGAAGGGTCCGAGGATATCCATACCCCACCAAGCGAACGACCACGGGGACGACAATATGCTCAGCTCGTGGGGAGGGGCGAGGTGCATTTCTCCGTGCTTCTGGCACTTGTCACATCTCTTAACGTGCTCATTGGCGTCCTGCTGCATTGTCGGCCAGTAATATCCCGCTCGAAGGGCTTTCCTCGCCAAGGACTTACCGCCCATGTGTTGGGCATTGATCCCTTCGTGTATCTCCCGCAGTACCTCGGGGACTGTGGATTCGTCGATGCATTTTAGGAGGGGGATGGAGAATCCCCTGCGGTACAGTTTGTGCTCGAGCACCACGTAGGAGCATGCTCGCCGCTTTGTGACGGTCGCATCGGACTGGTTCGATGGGAGTTCTCCCTTTGTCAAGAAATTGTAAACCGGGGTCATCCAGGACGAGGCGTCCCCTATGGCGTGGACCTCGACTGGCGTCGAGGGTCTTTCGATACTTGGGCGTGTTAGGGATTCTTGGATGACGAATTTGTTCCCGCCTTTCTTTCTCGTACTCGCGAGTTTGGACAATATGTCTGCCCTCGTGTTTTGTTCGCGGGGAACATGTGAAATTTCTGCCCGAACAAACTTTGCCATGTGTTTTTTGACTAAGTTCAAGTACTCGACGAGGTTGTCGTTTTTGGCTTGGTAACTCCCCTGGACTTGGGAGGCGACGAGTTGGGAGTCGGTGTAAATCTGAACCTCGCGGGCTCTCAGGTCCTCGGCTAGTCTCAGTCCTGCGAGTAGGGTTTCGTACTCTGCTTGGTTGTTCGACGTCGGGAAGGAAAGAGCTAGGGAGTGTTCGATCACAACACCCTCTTCGTTCTCCAACAGGATTCCTGCGCCACTTCCGGACGAGCTGGATGCTCCATCGACGAAGATGGTCCATTTGTGCTCCTTCCCCGTGGGTGGGTCAGGAGTGGTCATTTCCGCGACAAAGTCGGCCAGGGCCTGCGCTTTCAAGGCTTTCCTACTCTCGTACTGAATGTCGAATTCAGAGAGTTCCAAGGACCATTTCAACATCCTGCCCGCCATATCAGGCCGACCCAGGAGTTGCCTTACCGGTTGGTCAGTTCGCATGATGATTGTGTGGGCCAGAAAATAGTGTCTGAGCCTTCTCGCCGCATTGACGAGGGCTATAGCCACCTTTTCTATCTATTGGTATCTGCTTTCGGGTCCTTGCAGGGCTTTGCTCGTGAAGTAGACGGGTTTCTGTCCGTCAGTGGTCTTGCGGACGAGAGCCGCGCTGATGGCTTCGTTCGAAACGGCCAAGTACAAGTACAGAGGCTCCCGGTCGGGATAGTACGGGCGGTTGAGATAGACTTTTCTTCAGATGGCGAAGTGCATGTTCGCACTCCTCGCTCCATTCGAAGGCTGCCTCCTTACGAAGGAGTTTGAAGAAGGGGAGGGCGTGCTGAGCGGACCTCGCGACGAAGCGGGATAATGACGTGAGCATGTCGTTCATGATCTGTATTGACTTCTTCGACGTTGGTGTCGGGAGGTCGGAGAACGCCCGACATTTGTCGGGGTTGGCTTCAATTCCTCGTTCTGTTAGGTAGAATCCGAGGAATTTTCCTGCCTTGACCCCGAATGTACATTTCTCGGGGTTGAACCTCATTTTACATTGTCTTGCCTGGGCAAAGACCGTCTTGAGGTGTGCTGCGTGGTCGGTGTCTGCTCGGGACTTGACGATCATGTCGTCCATATACACCTCGAGCATGTCGCCTATCTGTTTGTGAAAAACCTTGTTCATCATGCGTTGGTAAGTTGCCCCGGCATTTTTCAGTCCAAAAGGCATTACATTGTAGTAATAGTTGCCCGAGTTGGTCATGAAAGCCGTGCAGTGTTTGTCGCCCAGTGCCATCGGGATTTGGTTATAGCCCGAGTAGGCGTCCATGAACGACAATGTTTTGTAGTCGGTCGAGTTGTCGACCAGCATGTCTATGTTAGGTAAAGGGAAAACATCTTTCGGGCAAGCCCGATTGAGATCGGTATAGTCA